TGACAAATTCGACATAGTAAAAACTATCAAAGAAATAAATGAATTAGAAATAGTAAAAAGAAATAAACGAAGATATTTTCAAATATAGTCAATTTGATCATAATTCCATAAAAATAATAACATCAATTGACCAGTTAATCATCATAAAAATATATAAGTTAGTTATTCCACAATAATAAAATATAAATATTAGCGTTATATAATGCTATATGGTGGGCTGGGCTGGGACCAGGACCGGACCCGCAGTCTTAACGGGCTAAACGGTCCTGGCGGGCCGGTCCTGGTGGGCCGGTCCCCAATGGTGCAGGAGGCTCGTGGCGCGCCGGTTCACTTCTATAAGCCCACGAGCCCGGGACCGCTAAGCCCGGGACCGGCAGGCGGGCCTGGGCCGGTTCAACCGGGCCTAACAGGCCTAACGGGCTCCAACAGGTATTTTTAAAAAAAATTTTTTTTTTTTTAAAAAAAGACCAAAGGTCAGATTTTTAAAATCTAGCCGTTGGCCTTCAAAATTTATCCGTTGGCCACTTTAAAAAATAGCCATTTGGCCTCCAAACTTTATTTTAACCCCAAACTTTATATAATTACACTTTTTTCTAATTCTCAACTATAAATACCCTCTCATTCTTTTATTTTTACTCACCAATTCATCAATCTCTCTCAATCTCTCTCAATCTATATCTAATTTCTCTTCTATAATTGCTTATTTTATTATTGCAATTTCGTGAAAAATTGTGAAGTTGTTTAATTGAAGTGTCTTCAACGATTTTCAATTTTCAAGAAGTTGTTCGGCAATTCGGTAAACTCGTTCCAACTCTTAAGTTTTAAGAATATATTTTTGTGTGTTTTAGTTTGCATAATTGTAATTAATATGGCATTTTCTTTGAAAAAAATATTTGGTGGTAAGGGAAAAGCTAAAATTGGTGAAAGTAGTCGCCAACCTACTACCCTTCCCCCGGCTCTCCGACCCAGACCTGTTACTCGTCCTGCTGCTCCTATTATTCTTGATAGTGATAACCCTTGTTTTTAATTTTCCGATAGTGAATTTTGCCATAATGTTGCACCAGGTGAACAATTAAATGAAGAAGTTATGAATGCTCTTTATCCTAATCAAACTATCTTAGAAAATAATGAGAAAAATGAGGATGTAGATGAAACCCAACCGAATTTAGATGATACACCTACTAGTCCTGTTAATAACCCAACTGATGCCCCGCCCGACCACCTGTAGAAACCCCTACTTTTAATAGACAACCTTCTAAACGCCTAGAAACATCAATAGTTTAGAATTTTTTTACTCAAGTAAGAGAACAAAATAAGGCTAAGTGTAAAACTTGTGGGAAATTGCTGGCGCATAAATATACTGGAGACCGTAGCGGTACGGGTAGTTTGGCTAGGCACATACAAACATACCCTAGAGATAAAGTTAAATATTTACAAATGAAAGCGCAACAAGAGGGGACAAGTGTAGATACTGCGGCTAACCCTAGTACAGGTTCAAATCTAGTTCAACCAGGAATTAACACTGTGACCGGTGGTATTTTATATTACGATCCTAATAAAGATCGTGAAGAATTAGCAAAGATGGTCACCGTTATGTGCTTACCCTATACTTTTCCTTCTAACCCTAATTTTGTGCATTATATTAGAAAAGTTTTTTAATCCTACTTATAAAGGTTGGCCTCGCGCAACAGTTAAGAGCGATATTTATAAATATAAACATGAATATGAACAATATTTGCGGTATTTATTTACTCATATAACTAATCGGATTTCTATTACTACTGATATTGGTAGAAGTAATAATGACTGTGATTATCTAACTGTTACAAGTCATTGGATAGACGAGGAGTGGATAATGCAAAAACGCATTATTGCGTATAGTAATAATTAATTCACGTCACACAAGTAAGTTTAAGTTGCGTAACACCGTTGCAGATATTTGTAGATATTTTTGCATTAGAGATAAAATAATGGCAATTTCTAGGATAATGCTTCTAGTAACACTAGTGCTATAGGCATACTTACAACAACACTAAATCCTGCATTTAGTAATTGTTTCCATGGAAGATAGTATTTGTCATATTTACCATTTAATCGTCGTGATGGTATGAGAATTTTAAATTTAGAAATTTGAAAAGGTTAGAATGGCTCTTAATTGGCTTTTTTATTCAAACCGTAGAACTAGACTTAGAGAGTATTTTAAAAATGTGATGAATTTGGCCTTAGAGAAAGAAAGGTTCCTAAACCTTGTCCAACTAGATGGAATTATATGTACGAAAGTTTAGTAGTTGCATATGAAAATATATATACATAACATACTATATAATATATATATATATATATTATATATATATATATATATATATATATATACTAACATATTATATATACTACAAAACATTACAAGATTTTTCAAAAGGAGGGCCCCACCCCCAATGACCATTGCCAACGGTCATATTGCACAAATAGCCTTTTTTTCTTTTTCAATTTACAAAACTAACCTTCTCTAACAACTATAAATACCCCCCTCCCTCTTCTTCATTTCAATACTCAATACTCATTTCTCAATCTAAATTTCTCTCAATCTCTCAATCTCCAATTTTCAAGGCTTCAAGTCTCAATCTGAAATTTCAAGTTAAATCATGCCTCGTTCGGAAAGAGTGCGCTTATTTGTTTCGCAACACTTTGAAGTGCTTGAAGAAAATGAAGAAGGCCAAATATTAAAGTGCAAGAACTGTGGAAGAGTCTTAAATTTTCGTTCAGGGGGTACCACATGCATTTTAAGGAGGCATATAAAGTATTGTGTTGAGGGTATTTATCCGCAAATTCGTCTTTAAGATTTTTCAACAATTTGTGTTATTTTAAAATTATTAGACGTATTTATGCTTCATGTTGTACTTTGTTATTAATTTATTATGCATGCCAATTTAGTTTTACTATTGTTTTGTTATTTTACTTTTTCGTCAAGCATTTTAATAATTAGATTTCAATATTATATATACTACATATATTTATATAGCCATGTATAAGAGCAATTTATATATATACATACATATATGGTTTACAAGAAATTGCCTTAAACAAAAAAAAATTTAAAAAAAAAGCCCGAAAATAAAAAAGCCCGTTAGGCCCACTAAGCCCACGAGCCCGACCTATTTAGCCCAGGACCATATGGGCTTAGGCCCGTCACGGGCTGGTTCCACCCGTTGAGCCCATGAAGCCCGGGACGGTGAAGCCCGGGACCGCCAGAGCCTGGGACCGCTAAGCCCAGGCCCGTTTAGCCCGGCCCGTTTAGCCCATTTAGGCCCGGGCCCGGACCACCATACAGCATTAGCGTTATATGAACTAACAAGATTACTTGGTCTAACTTTTACATGCATATACAAGTGATAATAATTCTTCAAAATAAACAAAAACATAGTTTTTTTCCCGAAAGCCATTAGTCGTAAGGAAAGAATGAAAAGATATGATAAGAAAAAAATAGGAAGTCATTTGATACACTATTAAAATAGTAGAAAAAATATTTCTAACCAATCAGATAAACATGTGAACTATTGGCATTAAAAATATAATAGATAATTGTATGTGTCCAGGTACGACTTAGTATTATGTTTATAAACTAAACATATTTAGGCATTAAGAATGCACTCAGTATAATTGTCATCTTTCCCTTTTACGAGACAATACATAATGCTAATTGAGTAAATAGATTCCACATAAAAGAAATGCGTAGCAACAATTTGATAATTTAAACAATAGGTTGTAGATATATACCTTGCAAGTGAAATTCAATCTTGAAGTTAGAGCCTTCGTGCTGATAACATATTAAGAAATGTAGCTCAAAGTAACAATATAAAACAAGAAGGTAAGTAATAGAATAAGCGAAGAAGAGATAAATTTCTTATTTCATCAAGTGTTCAAGTGTGTCCCATATCACATTTCATGCCTCTCTTTATACTATTACATAGAAGGCTACACAATGATTGTCTTAAACATGACATTAACAATTGAGACCATGGGGAAAATCATGGAGAGGAGTTATGGAGGTGTGGGAGTTACAATCATAATAGTGATGAGTAGCGAGAGATTATTTACATCATAGGTGAAAGTAGTGAGAATAGTGGACATATTTATTAATAGTTTTACAACAAGTAAAACTTTGCTTTCCTATTTATTTAGTGGTAATATAATGTTATAATACATATTATTATTAAGTGTGAGTAAAATTTTCTTAAGAAAAATACCCACCCCTCTATTCATTTGCCATATATTAAACCACTTCAAAGTTCAAATGAGCTTATAATATTTTTTTTATAAACCTTCTACATAAGTATTGTGTTAAAACAAAATTAGCGAACGTATTTGGAAGTAGGAAGCAAAATAAATTACAATCAAAAGGATGTGATGATCCATCTATATTTAATTAGAAATCTTGAGCGTAAATTTTGAAATTAGAAAAACAAAATTATATAAGATTTATAAAGTATAAATTTAAGTTAATTGTGGTTCAAGCATGTCACATTAACATAGGGTTCGAAGAAAAGCCACACACATAGATAACTTTATTATTGCTTCAAGGCACTATTTGTGTCTCAAATACCATATTATTATACCAAAAAAAAAAGGTAAAATAAATTATGACCAACCAACTACTCCCTCTGTTTCATATTAAATGAGGTACTTCCCTTTTTAGTCTGTTCCAAAATAAATGACACATTTCTAAATTTGAAAATAATTCAACTTTAAACTCTTCATTTTACCCTTTTTGCCCTTAATGAGAAGCTTTTATAGCCACACAAATGGCATGACTCCACAAACCTTTTATCCCTTAAGTTTTTAAGACCACAACTTTCATAAGTCTTTTTTTTTTTTTTAAACTTCCTACCAAGTCATTTTTTTTTTTAAAACTTCCTACCAAGTCAAACTATCTCAAACAATAGGAAAAGGAGCGAGTAATATATTATCAGGAGAGAAGATAAAAAGAAAGACCGACCAACTAATTGGGCGGAAGAAACGTGTTCAGTCGGATCGGTCAGTGGGAAAAATTTAAGGATATTTAGTGCCCCGCGGCTCCAGGAGTAAATTTCCAGTATTGAGCTAGTCAGTCTCAATTCCCAAGAAACTGAGAACCACCATGGCTCAAATCTCTTCCATCAATGGCGGAACCGATCAGGTCCAATCCTATTCTGCTCTGCGTTGTAGTCTTCCACTTGTTATTTTAAATTAGTTTGCTGGTTTTCATTTTGCCATATCTATTTTTCTTTTTACTAAATTGAAACCTTTCCCATAGGAAGTAAATAAAATTTAGTTTAGATGATCGCGGTTTCTTCTCAATTTTGATGAATCTTTTATGCCTGTCCAAATTCAAATGTGAACCTTTTCTTTTTTAACTGTTATTATCGGTTGTCAGGTTTTGGTGGAGGAGACATCAAGTGTTAGAACATTCATATTAAATAGGCCTAAGCAGCTCAATGCTCTTTCTCATCAAATGGTATGCCAATTATGATATTTAGGGAGTATTATTTTTTGGAGTACTGCTTTCTTTGTTTATTTTTTTTCTTGTTGCCCTTATAAAGTCCCACACTTTCTGATGAATTCATTGTTTTCTGCCTTCAAATAATATGTGAAATAGATAAGACTTGAATGTTGTAATGTAATTATCCTAGCCTTGCACCTATTCCCTGGAAACACTGCATATCATGTACTGTCATGCAACTTTGTTATGTAGTCTAATGATGTTTTACGTTTTCTGTTCGCCTCTCAACATTATATATTGTTCAAAAGCAAAAAAAGTACTCTAATAACATCGAATGACTGTGGAACTGGAGAAGCAAGCATGAATGTGTTACTTGCTCAACTAGTTTTCTTCTGGTTTTATGCATCTGAGTTGAGGAGATTGGATCATGATAGCGGTAGCTAAAAAGACTAATTTGATATGGATTCACTTTATTCTATATCTCATGCAATCATCTGGAAGAGATATTGTTGTTATATTAGCTTGGTGAACATTTGGTTTCTAAATCATGCCATATTTGTGTCATACAGTGATTGATGTAAATTGCTCTTCATCTGATGAAATAGGTAGGAGTTTTGAGTACATGTTGTCAATGATAAATGTCCTCTTAAACTTATTTGTTTGTCCAGATATCTCAGCTGTTGGAACTTTTCCATGTTAGTGAAAGAGATTCTAATGTGAAGATGATAATATTGAAGGTATGTTCACACTAGTAGGACTGTAGGAGGATCTTCTGTGATAGTAACTGTGGGTATCTTGTATTTTTCATACTAGCAACTGATTCATGTTAGCAGGCAGATTTGCATTGATTTGAGGAGTTACTTTGTTCAGATTGTGAACTGTTCATTTCTTTTGTTCTGTTTCTTCATTGAATTTTGTAATGCATCACTCCACGATTGTCTCTCTGAGTTCTTGGTCGTTCTGACTTGTGCTTAAAGATCCATAGAGCCAGTTTTATCGAGAGATCATTGGAAAGAAAAAGCTCGTATTGTCGGAGGACTACCCAAAAGGAATTCTGTGTGCTGTTTTTGTATATGATATCAATGGGACCCACTCCGTAGAAGCATCTAACTAGGCATGTTTCAAAGAACTCAGTCTGTTCCCCTACTCATCTCTTGACACAGTGAAGAGCTTGTCCTCATGGCTCCTGAGATATTGCCCCTCGAAGAATAAAGCTGGCAAAGTGGCTAGCTCTCTGCATTATCTCGCTGGTTCCATGTCTGACCAATCTAGTATTCAATCCTATCTATTTTCTTTGCCATACACTAGGGCTATGTGGTAGTAGTGTTAATCCAGATTGTCGAAAGTAGGTCACAGGGATGATTTTGCTGAAAAAAATCTAAAGAGAAATACTTTCCATCATTTTCTGCTGGAAATCAATAATGTTATCCTTGCCGATCAAACAAAAATAGTCTAGAGAGAAGGAAGATTTCCCCCCTCTAATTAGCTGTTAATATACGCTTGAACAGCCACATGCTCAAACCACTTATTGACATCCGATAGTCAAGTAGAAAGCATCAAGTAGTTAGTCTTACCTGTAATTAAATTGAACTTGAGCGAAATAAGATCGAAAATCAGATAAAGAAGCTTATTTGGATACCTTTAATTAAATAGCTTAGTAGAACAACTGAAAGGTATGTATTGGTTTAGTTTCTTATATGCAGTTTTCTATTTTAGTTTTTTTTTCTTTCTCAAGCTTTGGTGTAGGTTTCATAGTTCTACAAGTCACCCTGTTGTGTATAAAGTATCTTAACATCAGTCAAGAAATGTTAGTTCTTTTCTTGTGTCAATACTTCCAGGGAAATGGAAGGGCTTTCTGTGCTGGTGGTGATGTTACAGCTGTTGTCCATAATGTTCGCCGGGGTAGGTAACCTGTTAAATTGGTTATAGCTTAGTAATAACAATCTTCAGTATTTATAGATTATATTTTAAACTGGATCCATGCAGGTGAAAATTTGCTTCGATCCTTAGTTATACACTAGATTTTAATTTTGGACATCCAGAAATGTGCGACACACTTCTAAATGCTAATCTGAGAAGTTTCGTAAGTTTTAATATTTTGAAGTCATTTAACAGTTCAAACATAAACCATAGATACATGATGCTCTACTTTTCCTTTCTGTTAATTTTTTTCTTCAATTGCTATTATGCAAGTCCAAGTAACTTTTTAATCTATCTATCTAGTTTGATTGTGTTGCAGAAAATAGGACAGAGGCAATTCTAAATTGTTTTCTCAACTTCCTAAAGTTTTTCTTCGTCACTCATTCTCAAAACAATAGTTTTTCTATGTCGCTCTTATTCATATTTTTATTGATCACTTGTCTTACTTGTTAAGAGGCTCTAATTTTTCATCTGTTCAACTCTCTCTCTCCCCTCCCCCTCTCTTTCTCTCACTCTCCTGTATCCCTCTCTTGCTAACTCTTCATTTTTATTTCTCTTCCGATCAATCATTAGGCATTAAGATAATCGGGCAGCCTTAACATTGAAAAAGTTTGGACATATTCAATCTGTTTTCTTGTGTCCTATGAGATGCTTACGAGTCAGTTTGAGAACTATGGTGACCTTTAATAATGTTTGTGCCACACAACTTTTCTCTTTCCAGATGATGTTAAAAATTTTCAGTAATTTAGTTTTAAGTGCACATAGCTTAACGTCCAAAAAAATTGGCTAATTACATATATATTTTTATGCTTTCAGGTAACTGGAAACTGGGTGCTGATTATTTCCGCGAAGAGTTCACCCTTAACTATGTGATGGCAACATATAGCAAACCCCAGGTTAACTTAGGTTATGGTGTAATTTTATTTTTGTAATAAAACCTTCTCTGAGGAATACATTAATCTTATTTGGACTGCCCCGTGAAGGTCTCCATCCTTAATGGAATTGTCATGGGAGGTGGAGCTGGTGCTTCTGTACATGGTAGATTTCGAGTTGCAACAGAGAAGTCGGTATTGCCTCTACTTGAGTTAAAGATTCAATTCTTCAATCTCGTTATCTTGCTTCCCGTTTTGTAGTTGACCTTTACCACATTTTTTGGCATTTCCTTGAAATTTGTGCTCTTTATATTTTGTGGGCCTCTCTTGTGGAATGCAACAATATCTGAAATTCATGTGGAATAGTCTTAGCAAAATAGAGGAAAACCTTACAAACTGTAAATCTTCATGAGCTTTAGTTAGTACTTAGTACCTCTGGATTTGCATTGAGAGTTTATTTTCTTAGCTGTAATAGTTACACTCTTTCAAACTTGGTTGGTGGTTGCTAAGTACAAACTGGTATAAGAAACTTCATGTCCACATATTTTTACGTTCATTTTCCTGTAGGTTTTTGCTATGCCTGAAACAGCTTTGGGACTCTTTCCTGATGTAGGTGCCTCTTACTTTTATTCGAGGCTTCCAGGATTCTTCGGTAATTCCACTTGCAACAATGCTCATATTTGTAAAAGAATTTACTGCTAGATGTAATTTATTAAAGTTTCTAAGTGAAGTTATTTACTTCTTGTCATTGTTTGAAATTTATGTCACTACCTGGTTGCTGAAGCTTGGCTAGTTTGAGACTATCTTGAGAACATTTATCGTCCCTAGCTACCTTGCTTTTAATGCTCCTGCTGCTTCTTCTCCAATACCTTTGAGACCAAAAGTGAAAAGTTTGAAAAAAGGAAGATAGGTTTTTCCTCCCTCAGAATGTGGTCAAAAGCTTACTGTACATGCCCTGTAGCAAAGTAGCAGTGATTATTTTCCTTCCGGTTCATCTTCTCCTAAAGTTTCTGAATTTTTTCTGACATTTTATATCTACTTTCCACTGTTTGCATTCTTGATCACACGTTTTCTCATTTCAAATATATTTCACTCTTAAGTCATTATATTATTACATCTGGGTCAAAGCTTTTAAGATATAAGCCAACTATAATTCTCCCTACACAATTTTTGGGCTGTTGGCCGGATGTCGGCCTCGGTTTTCATGGCGATTTGCCAAGTTTGTTAAGTTTAGGTCATCCCAAAATTAAGCCTTAGTTTTCATGGTGATTGCTGAATTTCTTCATGTCATTACAAATTTAAGATAGCCTATGAATACATGCAAAGAATCTTCTCTACAAGGATGTATGAAGAACGAGATTTATATTGAAATCACTGACAAGGTTTCATGATTTATACCTAAATTTTATTTAGAGACTATCCTTCCGTATCTTCCCTGATTTTCCCTTATTCTTATTGGTGGTGTCTTTTATTGGGGAAGACTAATTCCTGTGATGTTACGATGCAAATAGAAGTTATAGAAGGTATAAATAGTAAAATACTGTCTTGTTTTCCCTTAACTACTTTCTTGTACTCTTTGGCAGGGGAATATGCTGGTCTTACTGGTGCTAGGTTGGATGGTGCTGAAATGCTTGCTTGTGGTCTAGCAACTCACTTTGTACCTTCAGAGGTATGATTCATCAATTCCCAGCATGTTCTGGCCAATTTGAGTTGCTTCTACAACAAATCAATTAGGTCTTATGTTTACTAATATGTCGGAACTGAACAGTATATAAAATGGAAAAGTCGATATTGCCTTTACATGTAATAATAAAATTGCTAGTTCATTAAATGAAGGAAGATGTTAGGCACATGGTTTTAGGATGGTAATCTTTTCTGGCATTTGTTATATAGGTCTCATAATCTTTTTCATTATGTTTAATTTCTGCCAATTTGACCATGTTTATCAAATTTGGGCCCAAACGTACTCTAGTTCTAAAAGGTCTTTGAAGGTCTGTGGTCAATGTTAGACCTCCAGTGGACCAGGATGTAATCTACAAGTTGTTCTACTTAGTTTGGGTTCAGCATCAGCAAATTCAGTTATTTGGTGCTGTAATAATTAATCTCTTCTTGTTTCTTTTCCCAAATAGTAATTAGTGGAGCAATACAGATGCTTCATGCAGAGTCATTCTGTAAATTGAAATTCTTTTAGCAGGATTGGGTACCAACAAATATGAATTCAAAATACTAGGAGAAATATTCTTCCGGTCTTCTAAATTACCTTGCCCAACAGTGCCCAAGCTAATCATGCGTGTTCAGAATCTGGATTTTGTCAACCATGTGCGGAATGGTTCTTTGATCAATTCATGGTTTCTTCCTTAAGCCATTGGTCGACTTATAGGCTATTTGTGGATTTCTGGGTGGTAGAAGACCTTTCCTGATGGTTTATTTTTGTGCTGAAGTTTTATTTATCTGACAAGAGTATTGGCACATTGAATAATCGGTTCGTAGATCTTGATATACATCTCCACCAGGATGCATAACATGTGTCTAACTGTTTAGTTCCTCCTATCTCTGATCTAACTTGAATGCTTTCTGATCTTGCTTCTGTTCACAGAGGTTGCCACTTTTAGAACAAGCACTAGTTAAAGTCAATACGAGTGATCCAGATGTTATTTCGGCCATCATTAGTCGCTTCTCCCACATACCAAAGTTGAAAGAAGGAAGTCCTTATCACAAGTGAGTTCATTAAATATCTCTATTATTGTGTTTGTTTTCATGCTGATTCATTGGAAACTTACCTTCTAAACAGAGTCCCAGGACCTGTAAGGGGATTGTTTGACCTTTAAGAGCATATAATGTTGATGAATCGTAGAGACCATATGTGCTCTTTCTTATTAGTTCTATCGTGTTATTTTTCTTCCTGTTGTTGCAAGACTATGTTCGCTCTACTTTTATATGGCCATTCGAAGCTTAAGATGATGGATACCTTTCCTAAGCTTGCATCGACTGAAGGGAAAAAGTTGTTCAAATAAAACAAACCAGTAGTCTTCAAAATTTCATGACCCCTTTCTCAACAGGGCACCAGTCTCAGTTCTGCAATTTTCTGTATGTAGGATGAAGATCATTGATCGCTGTTTCTCTCGAAGAACAGTCGAAGAAATCATATCTGCACTTGTAAGTCTGAGAGATGGATGGTGATTTGATGCATTCTTTTGTTTTCTATCGTAGAATTACTTTTGTACAATTTTGATAAAATAGGTTATCAGAATACTTGATGTGAACTTGGCATACATCTTCTACAGGAAAGTGAGGCTTTGAACAAGAATGATGACTGGGTCTCTTCTACCATTCAATCGCTAAAGAAAGCATCCCCTACAAGTCTTAAAATTTCATTGAGATCAGTAAGTCAAGCACTACTTTGTGATACCATTATGTTGTTACCTGAACAGATTATAGTGCCTAGGTTCGTTGCTAGCTATATGTTTTGGAAGGCAAAGTTTCAGAAGCTGGAAGTGGCTTTTGAATTTGATTGTTGGACAAAAAAGGTTAAGAGGACAAATCCAACTGCAAGTTGCATAAACTCTGCTTGATTTGGCTGGGTACCGAACAATGCTAATTTTGCTGAAGTCCTTTAAAAAGTTATGAAGTTCTTTATTCCTTTGGAAAAGAAAGAAATCGACTTTTGCGATGATTGGTTCTGTCAAATGGAACACCTAATAGCTGTGAAAGGTGTTCATAGCTACATGATCTGGAGAATCTAATCCCAATCTGAAAGAACTTAGTTATTTTCTACTAATATCTATTTCCGAATCTTCTGGTCATTCATAGGAAAGACGGGAGCAATCTGTATTTCAAGAACTAAAATAAATTTTAACTGGAACCAGTTAATTTTGTTGTGTTATAACAGAGATACAAATGATGTACTTCATTATTATTTCCTCGAGTACCTGCATGCTTCTTGCTTAATGCGTTTAGTTGATATACCTTGTAAACAGTTATCAGGTGTCGGTTCATGGTAGTTAATTGAGTAATGAAATAGAGGAAGAGAGAACAATGTGAAAAATTCTTTGTTCTATATGATGCTTCAGGAGAAGTTGGTCAGGTTAGCTGTTTGGTTGTGATTTGGTCAAAGCACTCTATGATAGATTGTTAATGATACCCCTTTTATCATATACTTTTCCTCGACTCGGAGCATGGTGACTGGTCCTTATACTAGCTAAATTGAACAACCCTAAACCCTTATACTAGCTAAATTAGAAACCCCCCTCATGGTGACTGGTCCTTATACTAGCTAAATTGAACAACCCTAAACCCTTATACTAGCTAAATTAGAAACCCCCCTCTCCGTTCCTTGGACCTCAATTTTAGTTGCTGGCTCCACAACTACAAGTAGAATCTCCTAATGACTTAATTTTGGCGAACATTTCCATTGGAGAGTTCTTGAGTATCTGCAGATTGTTCATATTAGTTTCCTTTTTCGGTTCCAGATAAGAGAAGGGAGGTTGCAAGGTGTTGGTAGCTGCCTTATCCGAGAGTATAGGATGGTTTGTCACGTGTTGATGGGAGAATTTAGCAAGGATTTTTTCGAGGTAGAATATGCCATCTTTCAGCTATGCATTTTACCGAATTACATGACTGACACTTGACTTACACTGCAGGGATGCAGAGCTTTACTCATCGACAAGGATAGAAATCCTAAGGTGCGTTACGTCCATTTGATCATGGATAATCCTGAAGTAGATATCGTGAGAGCTTCTTTCATGCTTTTACTTAACTTTTCACATGTTTTCAGTGGGAGCCGTCTAGACTGGACCTAATTAGAGATGATGATGTTGATTGTTACTTCTCCAAGATAGATGATGAAGATTGGGAAGACCTAAAGCTCCCTCCCAGATCAAACTTGCCTCCGTATGCCATTGCGAAGCTTTAAAATTGATTTATGGAGACCTTGCAATACTCTGCACTATGTTGCCCTCTAGTCACTAGATCATTATGAAGCCCAATAATCATTAAAATTATAGGAGTATTTCTTTTGTTGGGAAATGGTATACCAAATAATTGCTTGTGACTCCATTGTACGAAGTTGTCAAAAATCAAGCCCAAGGGAAGATTGTACATTACTATATAAACTAGGCAGATACTTTTTGTATACAGAGATGTTCTATTGCGTCAGATGTCATACCTCAAAAGATTGTATGTTACTGGATAATAGTTGCCACTTGCCAAATAGTTCTGAACAAAGAGAGACACTACAAGAAATAAGGTTTTCAGTAACGTTGTTCGGTGGCGACCTCTGTAGTCGCTACTAAAAGTAGTGCTATATGTCATTCTTTTGCGTAGCGGCCTACCTAAAGTCTCGCGCGGTTGTTTACTATTTGTGGCGAGTTTAGTTGCCACAAAAGTTAATAATAAAACAATAATAACAATGCAACAAGAATGGATGCACTTGCATACTGGTCCAAGCCTTTGCAAAAATATGGAAATTTTACCTCTATAGTAAAAGTATACACCCTATTTATTATAAATTAAAACCCTTTTAAAATATTATTTTTTATAGCAAGATAAGTATTTATGGTATACACTACCGTTAAGGCATTAAATACACTATATGTTTTTTTTCTCTCATTTTCAGTTATTCTCTCTCAAAATCTCAGCAAAATACTTTCAAAATCTCAGCAAAAATGGGCTATCTTTCGATTTGCAAATCACTCAAGAGGAACCTGTATTTGCAGGTTCATCAGCAACCATGGAAGCCGAAAGGCGAACAAAAATATGCAATGACCCTATGAAACAAGGTCAAGATGAGAAATCTTCGAAAAAACCAACACTACCAGTTTCTGTCCAGAACTTAAATGTGGAAAAGACAAGAAAACTTATCGACATTGCTTCTGGGAGCAAGGGAAAAAAGGTCGCTAAAGGAATTAGCTCGGAAACACCGAAGGACAAGGTAATTGTAGATGTATTTATATGTACTTGAGTCTGCATACACTGATTTTAGTTTGTACAGTAATTTTTTTTTTTGGTATTTAGATGTATTTATATGTATTTGAGTTCATAAAACAACTATTTTAAATAAACCGACAGTTCTAAATCATTATTGCCATAACTCGCAGTTGTTTTTTTTTGTGTCATAATCAGTATATTTTTATGTATTCATGAATGAGTTATGTATTCATGTATTCACTGTTTTGTATGTACCGTATTTTGTATGCAGGAAATAAACTTCTTTGTTAAACACCCGCCTATTTTATCACCGCATATCAATTTATACACTAACACTGACATAATCTCCGACCTCAAAGAAAATCTTAGTCTAGAGCAGTACAAACTATTTGGTACTACCTGTTTCGGTATATTCCTCGGTATGAAGCATTGTGAAGTTCAACATCAGTTGTTCAGGTGCTTCATGGTTCTGGAGCTGGAAGAAAGTCCTATTGACTCATTTTCAATACATGTGAATGATACAACATTGTGCTTTTCACTCAGGGAGTTTGCAGTAGTTACTGGTCTCAATTGTGTTAGTGACGCTGATGATTTTAAGTTTAACACAAAGAGGCCTAACAGGATTGTGAAAACATACTTTGGTGGTGCAAAGGCTGTTAAGAAGAATGACTTGTTGAAATGCTTTAATGACAAGAATTGGGGTTTTGACAATAATGGATATGTCATTAAAATAGCTGTGCTATATTTCATACATACATTCATATTATCCAATGAGAAGAACTGCACAACCATCCCAAGACTACATTCTGACTTGGTCGAGAGCGGGAGATATTATGATTACATATGGGGTAGTGTAACGACCCGACCGGTCGTTTCGAGTGTATTAGCCCCGATCCCCTATTTAGTGCTTTCCTCGTATCTTTTTCTGCTTATGTGACTTGCTGGGAGGTTCTGTTTTTGGTTTCGGAGTGATTTGAAATACTTAGTCCCTAAAACGGAAGCTTAAGTTCTAGGATTTTGACCGTAGTTGGAACTGTGTGAAGACGACTCCGGAATGGAGTTTTATCGGTTCTGTTAGCTCCGTTGGGTGATTTTGGACTTAGGAGCATGTTCGGATTGTGTTTTGGAGGTCTGTAGCTGAATTAGGCTTGAAATGACAAAAGTTGAATTTTTGGGAAGTTTGTCCGGAAGTGAACTTTTTGATATCAGGGTCGGATTCCGATTCGGAAGTTGGAGTAGGTCCGTAATGTCAGTTATGATTTGTGTGCAAAATTTGGGGTCAATCGGACGTGATTTGATAGGTTTCGGCATCAGTTGTAGAAGTTTGAAGTTACACGTTCATTAAGGTTGAATCAGAGTGCGATTCGTGTTTTTGTTGTTGTTTAATGTGTTTCGAGGGCTCGACTAAGTTCGTATGGTATTTTAGGACTTGTTGGTATATTTGGTTGAGGTCCCGGGGGCCTCGGGTGAATTCCGGATGGTTAAGTGATCAAATTTGGTTTTGGGAGAATGGCTGAAGGCACCAGTTCTGGTGTAATCGCACCTGCACAAGATAGACCACAGGTGCGAGCCAGCAGAATCGAGCCAAGGGGCACAAGTGCGGTTTGGAAGGAAGAGGTCAGAGGTCGCAGGTGCAAAGGTATAGCCGTATCTGCGCATCCACAGATGCGGAGAGGTGACAGCAGAAGCGGATAAGACTGGCCCGGTGCAGGGTCGCGGAAGAGGGACTTTCTCCGCAGAAGCGGGCCCGCAGGTTCGAGCCCTGGTCCGCAGAAGCGGGATTTTGGACTTTAAGTTAACTCCGCAGGTGCGGAGTCTTCGCCGCAGAAGCGGTGCAGAAGCGAAAATTGGACCACAGGTGCGAGATTGCTGGGCAGAAAAGAGGGATTTCTAGGGTTTAATCTCATTTTACACTTTGGGACTTTTAGAGCTCGGATTTGGGCGATAATTTGGGGGATCTTCAGAGGAAGCTTTTGGGTAATGATTCTTAACTCATTTATGGTTATATTTCACTAATCTATAGTTGATTTCATCATTTAATTAAGGAATTTGGTTGAGAAATTTGGGGGAAAAGTTCGAAAGTTCTTCAACTAAGTTTTTGAGTTTGATTCGAATTTTGATATCGGATTTGGATAATTTTGGTACGAGTGAACTTGTGAGTGAATGGGTATTCGTATTTTTTGACTTTTACCCGATTCCGAGATGTGGGCCCGCGTCGACTTTTTGGGGCGATTTTCTAATTTCTTGTTAACGTCTTGATTTTATTAATTAGATTAGTTTCTTATAGTTATATTTATGGTATATAATTGCTCTTGGCTAGATTTGGGCCATTCGGAGTCAAAATCGTGGAAAAGGCATTTTTACTGATTGATTGAGCTTTCGAGGTAAGTGGCTTGCCTAACCTTGTGTGGGGGAAGTCCCGTTAGGATTTGGTACTATTGTGACATGTGAGTGTCATGTATGTGAGGTGACGAGTGTGTACACGGGCTATTGGTTGTAAAATCCGATTTTTACTGAATAGTAACCTATTTTCATCTTAATTGAGTTGTACCAGCATGTGTAGTTATCCTGTTTATCCTAATATCTCATGTCTACGTGCTTTAGATGCTTATTTGAATTCTGTGCAGCATGCCCAGTTGATATCCCGTTTTTCCTTGAACTGTATCAGACTTAACTGTAGAATTCTTGCTGTTAATTGTTGTATTCATCGATTTTTGTGCTGTGTGTTTACTTTGGGACTATGAGGCGGTACCTCGGGAGATCCTCCCTGCACATTTACTTTTGGGACTACGAGGCGGTACCTCGGGAGATCCCCCTGCACATTTACTTTTGAGACTACGAAGCGGTACCTCGGGAGATCTCCCTGCATATTTACTTTTGGGACTACGAGACGGTATCTCGGGCAATCCCCTGCTGTTTACCCCTGTGTGTTGTACTGTCATTTTTCTGTGGTTTCCTCCTTGTTAAATTCTAGTCTCTTATTACTCTGCGATATTTTTCTGCCTTATTTATTATATATACCAGTAGGGCCCTGACCTGACCTTGTTACTACTCGACCGAGGTTAGGCTTGGCAGTTACTGGGTACCGTTGTGGTGTACTCATGCTACTCTTCTTCACATGTTTATGTGCAGATCCAGGAACTTCGTATTAGCCTCGTCATCAGAAAGCAGTGAGACTTTGGAGACTTCAAGGTATATTTGCCACGTCCGCAGACCTCGGAATCCCCCTCTATTCCCTCATATGTCATTTACCTTTCCGTACTTTTTCTTAGACTCTGGTGTATAGAGATACGTAGTTCTTCTATAGCTTGTGACTTATGATGTTCCGCGTTTCGGGAATACTGTGTATACTCGAGTGTTGGTTATTGTACATGCCGAGCGACATGTTTATTGGTTATTTAATTATCTGTTGCAGTTAGTTGTTAAGGTTTTGCTTTCATTTTTGTTATTCCGCAAAATGTTAGGCTTACCTAGTCGTAGAGACTAGGTGCCGTCACGACATCTCACCGGATGGAGGATTGGGTCGTGACAAGTTGGTATCAGAGCTCTAGATTCATAGGTATCATGAGTCACAAGCAGGTTTAGTAGAGTCTCGCGGATCGGTACAGAGACATCTGTACTTATTTTTGGGAGGCAATGGAACTGTTAGGAAAATTTCACTTCTTTTGCTTCCTTATCGTGCAAAATTGTTAACTTCGAAATTCTAAACTTATATCTTCTATTCTCTCACAGATGGTGACGACACGTATAGCCGGATCAGATGACCAGGCACCCTCGCCCCTGCTAGAGCCGCGAGGGCCGGGGCCGGGGTAGAGGCCGAGGACGTCCACGTGGTGCAACCAGAGCACCCGCACGAGCTGCTACAGAAGAGCCACCTGTAGCTCCAGTCGAAGCGCAGGCACCTGAAACGCCTGTTATTGCACCAGCTCTTCAGGAGACCCTTGCACAGTTCCTGAACATGTTTGGTATTCTAGCTCAGACAGGGTTGATTCCCCTTGCTTCTACCATATCTCAGGCCGGGGGAGGAGCACAGACTCCCGCCTCCCGCACCTCAGAGCAGCGGGTTTAGGTCGATCAGGTTCCAGAGGTTAACCAGTACAATCAGTAGCCCCAGTTCGGCCCAAGGGTAAGGAAGCAATTCCGAGGAGGAGCAGCGTAGGCTCGAGAGGTACAAGAAGTTCTAGCCTCCTACTATCAGTGGCTTGGCATCAGAGGATGCCCAGGGTTTTCTTGAGGAGTTCTACCATATTCTCCGTACTATGGGCATA